ATTACGGCGCTGATGTTCAAGGGCATCCGTCGGGTGCACGTCGGGCGCCGCCGCGACATTCTGGGCACGCAGAGGGGCTGGCGGCGGTGCGGGGAGGCGCGGCGCAGCGCAGGGGCGGGCGTTCCGCGGGCAAGCTCGGAGGCGCGCACCGTGTTGCGTCACCGATCACCATGGTTATCCGTCCGGTGCACGTCGGGCGCCGCCGCGACATTCTGGGCACGCAGAGGGGCTGGCGGCGGTGCGGGGAGGCGCGGCGCGGCGCAGCGCAGGGGCGGGTGTTCGGCGGGCGAGCTCGGAGGCACGTACCGTGATGCGCCATTGATCACCATACCGCCGGGGCCGCTACATGCACGTTTTTCGCGTTCCGCCGCGTCAGGGTCGCGTACTGACGTGCAAATATGCCGCAGCCGCGCACAGGAGCGCGCGTAGCGGGCGTTGCGCGCCAAAAAGTGCCGGGGAGCCCTGGAGTTGCACCCCAGGCCCTGGGCAGCTCCCTCGCGCGTCGCGCAGAACGCCTATACGGACAAAAAGGACTCACGCGGTTTGGTGCGGGGGGGGTGTGGGAGTAACGGGGGTCGGTTGTCGAGTCAGGGAGGGGGTGTGTTAACCGTAATCGTGCACGGGGAGATCGTTGAAAACCACGCTGCCAGCGCCGGGGCGTGGTACGACGGCGCGTGCCGGGTGCGGTCGACGGGGTACGCGTGGTTCGCGGGTGCGTGGGCCGCGTCAAGGCGCGCAACCTCGCGGACAACGAGGTGGTGTGGTGTGGGACAGCATATCAACGAGTCCACGGGACCGAGATCGAGCGCAATGAGGTCCAGATCGGGGAGCGCTACACCGTCCGGACGAGCATCGTGGCTGGCCGGCAGCTCGTGGCCGGCGCGGTCACCGGCGCCCTCGGGCTCGAGGGCGGCTCCGTCCGCGTCGTGCCGCTGCTCGACGGGAGCGAGCGCCGCGCGGGCTTCCTGCTCAGCGCGCACTTGCGCCATCGACGCGTCCGGGATGTCTGTGCCGGGCCGCTGCGCGCTCTGTGGCTGCTCGGGGGCGGAGACGCGGTCGTGGCGTCGGTGCGACGACGGCAGCGCGGTGCACTGGACCGCGGGGGCCGATCGGGCGGCGGGGGCGGTGCGCGACGACGCTGGGCGGGCGGTGCGCGGGCCGGTGCGCGCGGCGCGGCGCTGTGCGGGAACGCTGGAGCGACCTGCGGCGTGGCGCTGGTGGGTGACGCTGGAGGGGGACGCAGCGCGGGCGGCGTGTCCGCGGGCTGGGCTGGTGTGGCGCCGGACCGCTGCGCGCTTCGTGGCGGCTCGAGGGCCGGGGCGCGGCCGTGCGTGGACAGCGCTGCGGGGGCTGGTGTGGGGGCGGCGGGCGGTGCGCGACGACGCTGGGGGCGCGGTGCGTGGGTGCGGTGCGTCGGGACCGGCGTGTGAGCGACGAGTACGTGACGCGGGGGGGGGGGGACGCAGAGCCGCCGCTTACACGCCGCGGCCACGTCATGTGTGCCTTGTTGTGTACGTACCTGACGTGATGCACGTGGGCCGAGCCGCTGCGGTCCATGCGGGCCCTGGCGCACGTCGGCTGCGCGTCCGCCGCCGTCGCGCCTGTGCGGCGTCGACGCCGTCGGGGCGCCGATCTGTGCAGGCATCTCGCGCCGAGAAAGGGGAAGCACGCACAGTTCCGGGAGATCCGTGTGCGGCTGCGACGCGTGCTCGAGTCTGCCGGGACGTCCGTGACCGGGGGAGAAGGCGGCGCAGGAGTCTGAGCAGCCCGCGGCGGGAACCGTGTGCCCCCCTGGAGCTTACGCACGCACGCACGCCGATCGAGCGCGTCCTGCCGTGGCGCGTCGTGTCCCGGATACTGTGGACTTGCGCATGCGTCGCCGCGATGCGCCTCCCAGGGGGGGCTGCGGGGCTCGGCAGAGCCCGTCGAGAGACGTTGAGCACAGGCGTGCGCCCCTCGGCGCGCGCGCCCCTTGGCGACCCGCTGCCTCCGCTGCCTGCCGGCCGAGAGGACCGGCTGTCCTGTCGCGAGGACCAGAGTGCCCCGCGGGCCGCCCGCGTCGCGCCATGAGCTCGCGGGGACGGACCGACTCGGTGCGCCGGAGTCTCCCGGCACGCGTTCGACGCGCACCACGCCCGGCGGCCAAGAGGCGACGCCCGCGGCGGCGTTTCCCACGCGCTCGGCGGCAGCCCCCGCAGCTCCTCGGCGGCGCCCGTCACGTCGCGCGAGGCTGCGTGGGAGAGAGCTGTGGCCTGCCCGCAGGACCCTTTCGGGCGCGCTGCTGGCAGCGAGGCGACCACGGACAGGACCCTGCGAGTTGCTGCTGCTGACTCGTGGAAGGCCCAGGTGCGTCAGCGGCGCCTTCGCTCGAGCGCGAGGGGAGCCTTGGCGCCAACTGCAGATCGCGCTCGCCCTCGGCGACGCGCATCGCCGTGGACGGTGTCTGGGCTCTCGACCGGATCGACTGGGTCTGTACGCAGAGCGTGGAGCGCGCCACCATAAAGCGCGCCGTGACCCGAGGCCGGCGCTGAGCTCCACGCCGCCGCAGCAGCGCGCGCTGCCTCGCACCGGAAGGCGAAGGCGCGCTGCAGGGGAGGCGGAGGCGGCGCACGCGACGGTGCTGGACCGCGCCGGGCGCGGAGGCGCCTCCGCTCGGCCTCGGCGCTCGCGAGGAGCCGCCGCGTGCGCCAGACGGGCACACGAGCTGCACGAGACGGACGCGCTCGTCGACCGCGGAGCTCGAGAGCGAAGGCGCGCGGCCGAGAGCGAACGCGCGCTCGAGGCGCGGCGCGCGGCTGCCGGCGTGTGTCGGCGTGTCCTTTGCTGACGTGAGGACACCCCCCTCGTGCGGTCAGCCAGCCCGCCGGCGACGCGGGGCGCGCGGCTGCTGGCGCCGGCGCGCCCGGCGCGCCGCGCGCGCCGCGCAGTACATCTCTCCCCCCGCCCCCTTGGCTGCAGCTGACAACCCCCCCCAGTTCGACCGCTGCGCCTGGCTGCAGCGGCGACGAGCGCGGGGAGCGACGAGCGCAGGGAGCGACGAGCGCGATGATGAGCGTGTGCGCGGCCGCCGGCGAGGTCGGGCGGCGCGGCCGTGTCGCAGGCCGGCAGGACGGCGGCGGCGCGGCACGGACGAGATCGGCGCGCGCCCGCGCTGTCCCGGGCAGCCAGCCCGCCGGCGACGCGGGGCGCGCGGCTGCTGGTACGTCCTCCGCGCCCGGCGCGCCGCGCGCGCCGCGCAGTACACTCCCCCCCGCCCCCTTGGCTGCAGCTGACACCCCCCCTCAGTTCGACCGCTGCGCCTGGCTGCAGGGGCGACGAGCGCGGGGAGCGACGAGCGCAGGGAGCGCAGCGCGATGATGAGCGTGTGCGCGGCCGCCGGCGAGGTCGGGCGGCGCGGCCGTGTCGCAGGCCGGCAGGACGGCGGCGGCGCGGCACGGACGAGATCGGCGCGCGCCCGCGCTGTCCCGGGCAGCCAGCCCGCCGGCGACGCGGGGCGCGCGGCTGCTGGTACGTCCTCCGCGCGGATGCCGTCTCCGGCGCGGCGTGCTCGGCCCCGTGGGCTGTGTCGGCGTGTCCTTTGCTGACGTGAGAACACCCCCCCTCGTGCGATCAGCCAGCCCGCCGGCGACGCGAAACGCGCGGCTGCTGGTGCCGCCGCGCCCGCCGCGCCGCGCCCGCCGCGCAGGACACACCCCCAACCCCCTCCTTGGCTGCAGCTGACACCCCCCCTCAGTTCGACCGCTGCGCCTTGCTGCAGGGGCGACGAGCGCGGGGAGCGACGAGCGCGGGGAGCGGCAGCAGCGATGATGAGCGAGCGTGTGCGCGGCCGCCGGCGAGGTCGGGCGGCGCGGCCGTGTCGCAGGCCGGCAGGACGGCGGCGGCGCGGCACGGACGAGATCGGCGCGCGCCCGCGCTGTCCGCGGGCAGCCAGCCCGCCGGCGACGCGGAGCGCGCGGCTGCTGGCGCCGGCACGCCGCGCCCGCCGCGCCCGCCGCGCAGTACATCTCTCCCCCAACCCCCCGCCCCCTTCGGCTGCAGCTGACACCCCCCTCAGTTCGACCGCTGCGCCTGGCTGCAGGAGGCGACGAGCGCGGGGAGCGACGAGCGCGGGGAGCGGCAGCAGCGATGATGAGCGAGCGTGTGCGCGGCCGCCGGCGAGGTCGGGCGGCGCGGCCGTGTCGCAGGCCGGCAGGACGTCGGCGGCGCGGCACGGTCGAGATCGGCGCGCGTCCGCGCTGTCGCGGGCAGCCAGCCCGCCGGCGACGCGGAGCGCGCGGCTGCTGGCGCCGGCACGCCGCGCCCGCCGCGCCCGCCGCGCAGTACATCTCTCCCCCAACCCCCCGCCCCCTTCGGCTGCAGCTGACACCCCCCTCAGTTCGACCGCTGCGCCTGGCTGCAGGGGCGACGAGCGCGGGGAGCGACGAGCGCGGGAAGCGGCGGCGAGCGCCGGCGCGCGCGTGTGCGCGGCGGGCGGCGGGAAAGACGGACCGAGCGCTGTGCTGGCGCCGACAAAGGGGGGGGAGGGGGGGGTGTTTTTCCCACGACGACACGTCCGCCGCGCTCGGACCGATCCCGCAGTCTCTGCACGCGGCACGCACCGATCGTGCACGCCGCGCGGGGCGACCCCAGCCCGCAGAATTACCCCTGGGCGTGGTCGGACAGACAGGCATAGTTCCACCCAGGGGCGCAACAAGCGGCGAGGCGGCCGCGCGTCGACGCTCGCGCCTGGGTTCCGCCCGTGTTCACAGCGTCGCGCGCGATCTCGCGCCGCTCGCGACCACGGCGCTGTGTGAGTGAGCCCCCGCGTGCACCCCGCAGCCACCTCTCCGCTCGCCGCCGTCGCGCTCCGCGCGCGCAGCTGCCCGCGGGACGAGGCCACATACCACCTACCGCGCAAGTACTGCGACGCCCAGGTCATAGAGAGAGTGCGTTGACTATGTTTCACACTCGCTCTATCTCTCTCTCGCTGCTCACTCCCGCGCCTCCGCGCCCCGCCCTGCTCACTCCTGCGCCGCCGCGCCCTGCGCTGCCTTGGCCTGCGCTGCCTTGGCCTGAAGCTTCTTGGTGTCGTTCCAGTCGTTCTGGTAGCACCTCTTGCAGAGGCCACCAGATCCTGGAATCCTGCCAGCGTTCGTCCCCTCGGGCTTCTGCGCCGCGCCGCGCCCCCGGCCGCCGTTGACCGCCACGCGGTCGCCGCGGGGGTTTCCGCAGGCCCAGCAATAGCCCAGGTCGTTCAGCGCGTCGAGGAACTGGGTCGCGTCCCCGGGCACAGCGCTCAGGAGCAGGCACTGGTTCGCCCCGTGCGTCGTGATCACGTTGACGAGCTTCGTGTCCTCGTCCCAGGGCGGGAGGTCGAAGTCCGCGCGCACGCATAGCTCGTGGTGGGGGCACAGCCCATACTCGGGCCAGAGCAGCGTGCTGAGCAGCTGCGCGCGGGGCCTGTCGTCGCCGGCGCCCTGGTGGCCGTCGTAGTGCCGGAGCCGCGCCCGCATGAGCTCCTTGATCTTCGCGCGGCCCGTCCTCGCGCGCTCGCCCCGGTCGTGGAGCCCCCCCAGCGGCGTCCCCGGGGGGTTCGCCTCGAAGAGGACGCGGCGCTCGGGGACGTCCGCGTCGGCCGGCGGCCAGATGCGGTCGCGGATGGCCGCGGGGAAGCAGCCCGGGTCTCCGTCGGGCAGGTCGCGCCTCGCGCACCACAGCGAGGCGATCCTGCGCGCCCGCTGGAGAGCGCGGTCCAGCCCGTCCGTGAACTTTAGTGCGTTCAGGGCGTTGGACATCGCGAGCAGGTTCGGCAGCACGTGCCCGAGCTGGCCGATCAGCGCGTCCGGGACCATCTGGAGATAGTTCCCCTTGGAGCGCGAGCTCCTCGGCCCAAACACCCCCACCACCATCGGCAGCCCGACCAGGTCCAGGTGACCGGTCGGCCCCAGGAGCTGCACGAGCAGCGCCGCGACGATGATGCGGCGCTCCTTGGCCAGCGTGTCCGGGCCCTTGCCGCTCGCGTCGCCCTGCTGCAGGTGCTGCACACGCGCGTCCAGCATGTGCCTGCAGTCGCACGGGAGGCGGGGGACGGAGCGCTGTGAGCGGTCGACGCGCGGGGAGCGATGCACGGGCGCGGACGTGTCGGGGCGGCGGCGCGACGTGGCGCGGCGGCGCGACGTGGCGTGGCGGGAACGCACATCAGCACCGCGAAGAGCTCCGGCTCCTCCTCGACGACGAGCTCGTACAAGGGGTTGCCCATCTTCTTGAGCTGCTCCACCAGCGCGCTGTCGTTAATCCACTGGAGGATCTCGTCGATGGGCCCCAGGGTCCGGTAGGACCACTGGGAGTCCCCGAGGAGGCAGTTGAAAGGGAGGTCGCAGTAGATGATGGCGCGCTTCCGCAGCGCCTCTTTGTGGCTGACCGCACGCGTGCGGTCCGCCGTGATGCACGTCGCGCACGTGCGCCCCGAGTGCACCATGTCGAGCTGGTCCCGCGTGTACCCGTCCAGCACGTGGAGCGGGATCAGCGGGGTGCGGACGCCGGCGACGACCTCGGTCGCGACCTGCTCCAGGAGCAGGTCCGCGGCGCAGGGGAACAGCTCGTCGAAGTCCCCCCACGTCAAACGCTGGGCCTTCGTGATGCTGCCGCGGTCCTCCAAGGTGGCGTCGCAGCTCACCATGTTGCCGTACAGGACGGCGGCGAGCTTGCCGGCGGTCTCGACGGCAGGATGCATCGCCTCGCGCTCGTCCGGCTCCATCCTGGCCAGCGTGTCCTCGACCCAGCGGTCGACGCGTTTCGAGCGGAAGTAAAGCTTCGCGGCCTGGTACCTCTGTTCCAGGTCTCCGTCGTCCTGGATCTCCGCCAACACAGCGTCGAGCCCCTCGTTCGTGTCGCCCCACTCGCCGTCGTCGTTGCTGTCGCTCGCAGCCTGCTGCGGTGCGCCATGTGCGGCAGCGGCACCTTGTCCGGGAGCAGCAGCTTGTCCGGGCGCGGACCCGGACGCCGCGTGAGCGCCAGGGGGCGCAGCAGCGGCTCCGCCGGCAGCCGCCCCGCTCCTCAGCTTCTTGTTCAGGAGGTTGATCCTGACATTGCGCTGCAGCCTCGCCAGCATTTCCAGGATCTCCGACGCCGACTTCCCCGGTACGGCCGGGGAATCCCCCGTCGTGGTTCCCGCAGCGAGCGGGGACTCCCACGACGTCACCTCCGACGGCTCCAGGTCGCGCGCGAGCTGGATCAGAAAGGAGGCCGTGTGCCCCGACGGCGACGGCGACGGCGAAGGCGACGGCGACGGCGACGGCGACGGCGCGCTTCCTCCAGCGGCGTCCGGGGACGGATTCGGGCCGCTGCGAGGCGCCGGAGTGCGCGGCGTCCGCGTGCTGACGTGCGCAGCGACGGGCGCGTCGACCGCATCGCCGACTGACGGACTGGGACTTGCAGGACTGCTCGACGGTGCACCCGCGCTGTGCGTGCCCGCGGACGTCGCCGTCGACGGCTGCAAGTTCGACTCCGAGCCGGTCACCGAGCCGTGCGCGGACGAGTCCGACACGACGATGGGCGAGTCCGACACGACGATGGGCGAGTCCGACACGACGATGGGCGTGTTCGTCGTCGGGGGGGCGGACTGGCCCGCGGCCGGCGGAGCAGGGCCGCCGGCGCCCGTCGAGCTCGGGGCCTGCCGCTTCGCGAAGAAGTCGCTGATATTCGTTTGGTGTTTTTTGGAGGGCCTGGCAGGGTCATCGTCCTGCAGACACGCACACGGCGCCGTCGGCGGTGGTCAGTCCACGCCACGTGGCCACAGGGCGGTGCGCGACGGGCCCGCGAAGCGACGTGCGCTCGGCGGGGGGTCTGCACACGCGCTCAGACATGACACAAGTCTGCCATCGGCGCGGGGCCGCGGAAGACTGAAAGACGCAGCGCCGGACACCGACGGGGACCGGCAGCGCTGTCCGACAACTCGTGCGGCTGCGGACAGCGGTCCGGCTCGCCCGCAGGCGGTGCGAACGTGCGGCGTTGGCCTCACCTTTCCTGCTGCTCCAGCAGGCCTCTTGCGCTCTCCGTCCATCTTGATCTCGCGTGGCGTCGTCGGTTCCGCCTGCAATTAATCACGCCGCGCGGGGGCGAGTCAGCAGCTGCGCGCTGAAGCCGTCGAAGCGCGGAAGCGACCTTCGAAGAGCCGAAAACGACGAAAATTCGAGACACGGCGGGCTTGCTTCGCGCGGGGCGCGAGGCGCGTGATCTCGGCGCCATGCTACGCGTCACCATCATGGTCGGCCACTCCACCAGCGCGTTCAATTTCTGGCGCGAAGACGCGCGCGTATTTGGGCTCGAAACGAGGGAAAGGCGGCAGAGCCGCCCCGGCCTCGACGAGGACGACCGAAGGTACACGAAGCGCTCTCGATGCTTCCGAATGTCAGGTGGATCTGCGACGGTCGCGGATCTGGCCGAAGCGGACCCAGCGGGGCCGTTCGGTGGCCGCTTGCCTCACCTGCGTTTGAGCTCCGTGTGAACTCCGCGCGCGGGGGTGGCGCGCCGTGCGTGCCTTCTTTGGCCCGAAAATTGACCGGCGTGGCCGGTCCCGGGCCGCCATCGGCGCCGCGCGTGCCCGCTGCCCGACTGGGGGAACCCGCGTCAGTCAGTTAGCCCGCGTCGGTGGAAGCGCTGACAGACACGGTGTCCTGCGTCCCCTCCGGCCGCGCTTGGGCTGGCCGACGGCGCGCGCATCGACACTCGTCGCGACCTCGAGAAGAGATCCTCGCGGTCACTGCACATCGCACCGAGCGGCCGGACACGTCCCGCTTTTCGGCTTGTATCGATCGCCGGTGAGGGCCCGCACCGTCACGTTCTCGGATGTCGTGTCCGTCGCACGGCCACGATGTATTCTGCGCCGCGCAACGCCGTCGTACGAGCGTCGGGCGGCGCCGTCCAGCCGCGCGCCGAAGCCACGGTGCCGTCGAAAATGGGTTTTCGGCGCGCGGGCGCGCGGGCCCGAACGCCGGCGCGCCGTGGGCGAGGACGCGGGAGATCTGGTCTCCTGAATCGGTTCCGTCCGCTGTCTGGCGGCGAACGCCCGTGGCGCGGCTGGCGCGGCGAAAGACACTTCTGACGAAACTTTCGTCGCCGACCCCGCACCCCCTGCCCGTCCTGCGCGCAGATTCGGAGAGTCGTCGAACATGTCGGACTTTTTTCCGGTGAGCGAGACTCGCTCGCCCCTCAAGCGCGCGCATCTCGCGGCCTGAGCAGCGCACCGAACGCACCTCGCTCATTCGCTCACGCGCCCCCCTGTCCCTCCCCGCCCCCGGGTCGCTGCAGAACGGCACCGGAGGCCGTAAGGGACCTCCAATCCACCAGGCGGTGGTCGGCTGGGCGGCGCGGCTTGGCCGCACCGCCGAGCACATGCAGGACACCTGCATGCACACCGCGGGCTGCACGCGGAACAAGGGCAACAACCACATCTGCTCGGGGTCGGTGAGGGGAAAAATTCCCCCCCTCTTCGGGGCTGATTTCAGGGCATGGCACGCGCAGAGGGTGTGCCGCAACCCCAACTGCCCCGCCAGCATCCCCGAATTCGTGTACAAGGTGGACACCGTCGTGGTGGGGAAGGACGCAGAGGGGAAGAAGATCGTGGCGTATCGCTACACCGAGCGCAAAGATCCCGACTTCTACCTCAAGTGGAGCAAGGACGGGCAGCGCAGGTGCCAGAACTGCATGAGGTATTACGACAAGAGGGCTGATCGGGAGGATATCCTCGATGCTGATAAGGAGAGGACCAAGACCGTGTGCATGGACAACTACGGCGAGAGGCTGCGCGAGCAGCTCTACGTCGAAAGGGTGTTCGTGCTCGACATCGAGGTGCTGCAGTTCTTCGGCCTCCCGTCCATCCCGCCCCTGACGAGCGACTCCGACGCGGGCGGCGCGATGCCGGGCTCCGGCGAGTCGGGCTCCGGCGCCGCGGGCTCCGGCGCCGCGGGCTCCGGCGAGTCGGGCTCCGGCGAGTCGGGCTCCGGCGAGTCCGACGCGGGCGACAGCGACGCGGGCGGCGCGATGTCGGGCTCCGGCGCCGCGGGCTCCGGCGACACGGGCGACGCGGGCTACGAGTTTTGGTACGACAGCGACCTGTGCCGCAGCTGGCCGTCGAGCGGCTCGGACTTCACGGAGTGAGCGCGTCACGGCCGCAGGGGACGTGCCGGCGGGACGGCAGGCAGCCGACGGGGACGAAGAAGGGGAACGAGCAGGAGGAGGAGGTGAAGACACGGCGGGCAGCTGCGCGCGCGGAGCAGGACGGCGGCGAGTGGAGAGGTGGCGCAGCGCACGCGGGGGCTAAGTTCCGGTCCGGCTCACAGCGCCGTGGCCGCAAGCGGCGCGAGATCGCGCGCGACGCTGTGAACACGGGCGAAACCCAGGCGCAGCCGCCTCGCCGCTTGTTGCGCCACTGGGTGAAACCAAAGAGGGGGGGAGTATTGCGAGCTGGTGGGGAGGGGTATTGCGGGCTGGGGTCGCCCCGCGCGGCGTGCACGATCCGTACCTGCCGCGTGCAGGGACTGCGAGATCGGTCCGAGCGCGGCGGACGTGTCGTCGTGGGCAAAACCCCACCCGTCGGCGCCGACCCGTCCCGCGCCGCTGTCCGGCCGGCCGCGCCGTTCGAGTGCGCCGACCCTGCCGCGACAGGCGCTCGCCGCCGCTTGCCGGTGCCGCCGCTCCCCGCGCTCGTCGCCCCTGCAGCCAGGCACAGCGGTCGAACTGAGGGGGGGTGTGAGCTGCAGCCGAAGGGGGGGTTGGGGGTGTGTCCTGCGCGGCGGGCGCGGCGCGGAGGGCGCGGCGGCACCAGCAGCCGCGCGCTCCGCGTCGCCGGCGGGCTGGCTGGCCGCACGAGGGGGGTGTTCTCACGTCAGCAAAGGACACCCACGGGCCGAGCACGCCGCGCCGGGGCCCCCGCGCGACGGGCGCGACCGCAACCGCGCGCTCCGCGTCGCCGGCGGGCTGGCTAACGAGGGGGTGTTCTCACGTCAGCAAGGACGCGGGGCCGAGCACGCCGCGCCGGAGACGGCCCCCGCGCGACGGGCGCGACCGCAGCCGCGCGCTCCGCGCCGCCGGCGGGCTGGCTGCCCGCGAGAGCGCGGGCGCGCGCCGATCTCGACCGTGCCGCGCCACCGCCGTCCAGCAGGCCGCGCCGTTCGACCTCGCCGGCGGGAGCGCTCGCGCGCGCCGGCGCTGCCGCTGCCCCCCGCGCTCGTCGCTCCCTGCGCTCGTCGCCCCCTGCAGCGAGGCACGGCCGCCGTGGGAGGGAGTTGGTAGCGAGAAAGGGGGGGGGGGTGTGTCTTGCGCGGCGGGCGCGGCGAGGCGGGGGCCGCGGCGAGCGCAGCAGCACCAGATCCGCGCGCTCTGCGTCGTCGCCGTCCCGCCCGTGCACGTGAACGCACCGATCGCCACGTCAGGAGAGCAACACGCCCTGGGGTCGCGCACGCCGAGTACGCCGCGCCGGAGACGGCATCCGCACGGAGGGCGTACCGGCAGCTGTGCGCTCCGCGTCGCCGGCGGGCTGGCGGGCCGCGAACGCGCACACGGAGATCGACACTCCAGCACCGCAGCCGCCCTGGCGGTCGCGCCGCCCGACCTCACCGGCGGCCGCGCACGCGTTCGCCGACCCTGCTGTCGCTCTCCGATGCCGTCGATTCCCGTTCGTCGCCCCCTGCAGCCAGGCACGGCGGTGGGAGGGTGTTTGCAGCTGCAGGCGAGGAGGGGGGGAGAGATGTGCGGCGCGGCGGGCGCGGCGCGGCGGCGCGCGGCGCAGCGCGGCGGCGGCGGGCGGCACCAGCAGCCGCGCGCCTCGCGTCGCCGGCGGGCCGGTTGATCGCACGAAGGGGGTGTTCTCACGTCAGCAAAGGACACACCCCCCCCCGGGGCCGAGCACGCCGCGCCGGGGCGGCATCCGCGCGTACCAGTAGCCGCGCGCTCCGCGTTGCCGGCTCCTCCTGGCTGCCCGTGAACGCGCACACGGAGATCGACCCTCCGGCAGGGCAGCCGCCCTGGCGGCCGCGCACACGCGCTCGCCGGCAGCCGCGCACACGCGCTGATCATCGCTGCCGCTACTCACTGTCGCTCGTCGCTCCCCGCGCTCGTCGCCCCCTGCAGCCAGGCATGCCGCGGCCCCGTCCCAGCGCCGTCGACGGCGTCGGGAGCGGCGCTGGGGCTCCGTCCGTCGACGGCGCCGGCTCGGGCGCGCCCGCGTGAGAGTACAGCGGCCAGTGTGCGAGTCTGCGAGAGAGGAAGGGGTCAGGAGCGACGAGTGACGGGTCAGCTCGGTGCTATGTTGTTGTTGCGCCGCATGGCGCGGGGGCGGTGCGCGCGGTCGCGGCCATCCGGCGCGTGCACGCCGGGCGCCAGTGCAACGTCTTGGGCACGCAGAGGGGCTGGCAGCGGGCGCGCGTCGCGTGCCGAAGCGCAGGAGCATCCCGGCGCCGTCGCCAGGTGCACGCAGCACGCGAGTCCTGCGGGGACGGCCCTCGCGGTCCGCCGGGCACGCGACGAGACCGACACGACGTGGGCGTGGCGCACCTGCTCCCGTCGCTCCCCGCGGCCGCTCCGGAACGGGCTGCGCGGTGCCGCACCAGGGCACTGGCACCAGGGCACCGGCGAGGCGGGCCCCGCCGCGCGCACCTGGCGTCCGTCGCGGGCGTTGCTCAGTGTCCTGCACGGGGAGAAGGATTCGGTGCGCCATCGCAACGCTCAGCGGGGGCCGCGAGCGCGGGCGAGCATCGTGGGCACAGATGCGAGCGGGTCTGCGCGCGTAGAGGGGCAGCCGCCGGTGCCACACCGCGAACGAACGCAGTAGATGTGGTAAGTGCGTGGCCGCGCATGACGGTCGCCTCGTGCGCGGCCACGGAGGCGGCTCGCGCTCTGCGGCGGCGGTGGTGCAACGTGGGGGCGCGATCGCGCCGCAGGGCCAGGTCGGACGGCGCCGCGGAGGGCTATTGACCGCGCACAGAGCAGCATGGCGCGAGATGCAGGGAGCGGAGGCGCGACCTCCACCGGCCCGCACGCCTCTCACCTCGAGCTGGGGCCCTTGCGCGTCTGCGCTCGCGCGGCACGGGCTGTTCAGCTGCGTTCACGTGCCTTCTCGGCGCAGGCGAGGCCATGCAGGGCCCACGTCGCGGTCTGCATGTGCGGTCAGGCCTGGTCGGAGTGCTGCATTGGCCCTGCGGCCACAGCGCCCACGCCTTGAGCCACGGCTCGCGGAGGTGGACGTCGACGGGTGTGTCGCCCCGCCGTAGTTCGGCGTGCCCACGTGCGCGCCAGCGTCCCCGCGCACGCGACGCGTGCTGGGAGACTCCTGCGTGCGAGTCGGTCCGGCCCCGCGGGGCTCACGAATGGCGCGGCTCGCAGGGCGCTCCGATACTTGGTTCATGCAGGCGTATGGGCTCCGTCCCCGCCGTCCTTTCGCCCCGGGGGAGCGACGGGACGGATACTGCATTGCCTGGGCCACCCTCTGCTCCTTTTCCGTTCCGGGGAGGCACGCACGCCCGCTGCCGTGCGGCGCTCTGCGACGGTTGGCTCTGCCCGAGGTCGAAACATCCTCTTTCAGGCGATGAACCAAGGCAGGTGGCGCTGGGCGCGCTACCAGGCGGACGCGTTGCAAGGTTGCACGTGCGACGCCGCGCCGACGACGCGAGGGAGCCCCGCGGGCGGCCTGCGGGGGAGATCCTGCAGCGAACGACCCTGGGGGCGTCGGACGGCGTGTCCACCGCCAACCGGAGGCGCGTGCAAGGGAGTGGTGGACCTGCACGGCCCGGGCGCGGTCTCGGCAGGGTGGCGCAGCACGGTGCAGGGTCGACACGACGACGCGCCGGCGCCATCAGCACCGGGCGCTCCGGGAGCCCGCATCTGCCGGCCCTCGATCGGCACCGGGGGGTATGGTGAGCTAGGTGTGTGCAGCGGCGCGGCCCAGCTCCGACGTCTCGTGCACGCCGCCGCGGGCTGGCGACGCGCTCGTACCGCGCGGACGGTGGCGAGCAGCAGCTACGCGTGCGGGAGGATGCGCACGTGTGATTTCCGGACATCCGCTCTCCCTTGTCGTCGTCGCCGTCACTCGTAGCGTTGCCGTCGGGGGTCCGCTCTTCGCGGGGCCATGAGCGCCGGCGGGCGGCGCAGCGGTGTGCGGCTGTGCGGGGCGGTGCAGCGCGGAGGCGGGTGCTGGGCGGGCGGGAGCTCGGAGGCGCGCACCGTGATGTGTCCACCATCATCGTGCTGCCGGCGCCGCTACATGCGCGTTTTTCGCACTCTCGCCGCGGCAGGGCCGCGTGTTGACGTGCACGGGCGCCGCAGCCGTGCGCGGAAGCGCGCCTCACCGCCTCCGCGGGGCCAAAAAGTGCCGGGAGCTCTGGAGTTGCACCTGGGGGCCCTGGCCAGCTCCCTGGACGTCGCGCGTCGCGCAGAAGACGTACGGGCATAAAAATCGAGCGGCCCATCTGGGAATCGAACCCAGGTCTCCCGCGTGACAGGCGGGGATAATGACCACTATACGAATGGACCGTTCATGTTTCGTTGCTAGTATGGTGAAATCCGCTGTTCCAGATCACATTTTGTACATTGCATCAGACGTCGATGTATGTTGGCGCTCCTGCGCTGCTGGCACCGTTCCGCCACGTTCAAGGTGCAACGTACGTCACCGCGTCGTCGTGATCGAACCATCCTTAAAGCATGCCATCACGGCCCGTGAGCCATCACCGGCCGCGCAGACACGCGGCTACGCACTGCGACCGCATGCATACCGCACAAACGTCATGGACCGGGCGGTCGTTTGGCGCCACCGTGCGCAGCCGCACGCCCAGGCACCGGCGCCAATGCACGCACACAAGCCCCCCTCGAGGGAGCTCCGGCGCCTTGCTGCGACGCTTCCGACGCCCGCGTCGCGCGCAGCCGCCTCTCCGCAAGTGTACATGCCGCTCCCTGCGACGAGCCGCGCGCACGAGACCCGAGGCCGTGGCGCGGCGGGCATGAGGACCAAATTGGTGTCACACAGGGCCAGGGACTGCCGCGGCCTGCTGCGACGGCCCAGCAGATCGAGACCGCCTGCCTGCGAGGTTTGGTTTCGACCCTCTCCGTGCGAGCGTCGGCCCCGACTTCGCGTCGTCGTGACGTGACCGTCCTCGACCAGGTGGCTGCAGCAGCGAACCACCCCGTCGTCGTCGACCTCCTGACCGCCGGCACGAGCGTCCCGCCGCGCCCCACGCGCGCCGGCACGAGCGTCCCGCCCCGCGTCGTGCAGCAGACTGGCCCCCTGCCACCGTGCGCGGGCCCAGGTGTAGCCGGCTGGCGCGGACCACGCGAGACAACCCCCGGGAGACACTTGGTGACCCCCCCTCCCCGGCTCGCTGCAAGCGCCGTGCTGGCGAGCTCGGAGGCGCGCACCGCCTGATGCGCACCACCAGCTGCATGCACGTTTTACAACCCTACCCGGGCGACCAGGTCGGACCTGCCGCAAGCCACCGGCGGGCGCCGCTGCACACGTGTGCGGCGGACGACACGCATCTGGAGCAGATGGGTTTCAGCGCGACTCCCTGTTTTCAGTGGGCGGGGACGCGCGCGTCGCGGGTTTCCACTGCCATGGCAAGGCGCATCGTGGCGATGCGAGCAGCGCCCCCACGGCAGAAGGCGTTGCGCGTATCTACGCGACGATGCAGGATGGGTTTCAGCGCGTCTCCCTGTCCGGACGTCTCGGCTGCCGGGGGCACGTGAGCCCCGCAACGTGTGAGTCGTGTCACCACGACTACGCAGTGAGTGGTCACTGTCGGCTCCGGTCCGGCCGCGGCGAGGACGGCACCGTTCCGCCACGTTCAAGGTGCAACGTACGTCACCGCGTCGTCGTGATCCAACCATCCTGGAAGCCATGCCATGACGGCCCGTGCGCACCACCCGCCGCACAGATACGCGGGTACGACGCTGCAGCCGCATGCATTCCGCATAAACGTCATATACCGGCCGATCGTTTAGCGTCGGAGCGCCGCCGCACGCCCGGGCACCGGCACCAGTGCACACACACAAGCCCCTCGAGCTCCGCCGCCGTGCTACAGCGCTTCCGACGCCCGCGTCACGCGCAGCCGTCTCTCCGTTAGCGTGCATGCGGCTCTCTGCGACGAGCCGCGCGCACGAGACCCGAGGCCGTGACGCGGCGGGCCACGTCTGGAGAGGTGAAATCGCGAGATGGTCTTCACAGGGACTGCCGCGGCCCGCTCCGACGGCCCCACACATCGGGGCGACCTGCTCGCGCCGTCCGTGCGAATGTCGCCCTCGACTTCGCGTCGTCGTGATGATCGATCCTAGCAGCAAACCATGCCATGACCAGGGCCCCCGTGCGCCATCACGGGCCGCGCGGACACGCGGGCGCGACGCTTCTTCCGCATGTACACCGCACAAACGTCACACCGGGCGGTCCTGTGGCGTCGGAGCGCCGCCATACAGCCGCACGCCCGCCCCAAGGAGGACATCGCCGCGCCCGTGTGTGTGCCGAGCCGCCCGGCACCCTGTGCGCCTTGTTCCGCTACTGCCGACGCCAGCGCCGCGATCGACGACCGTCGCACTGTCCGGGGCAATGCCCAGCTGCCGGGTAAATGTAAATGGGACGGTCCGGGACCATGAATCAGTGCCCACCTGCACACCACCCCCCCCCGCCCGCGCCTCAGCGGCAGCGCGGCGCCCCATACCCGTCGCACAACGCGTCCCCGCACAGCGCGTTTTGCACGTCCGTCGCGGGCCGCACGCACACGGCAGCACGAGCAGCTGCCCTGCACCAGGAGCGTGCGTGCGCGCGTGGCCCACCGACCGGAATCGCGCCGGGGAGATCACACTCTCTCCTCCGGAGAGTGTGACCACACACTCTCAGCGATCCCCCCGCGGAAGGGGGGGCCCTAGCGCGGTCCCAGCTGCTCGCCCCCTGGTTCTCTACGCTCCTCGCGCCCGCCGCGGGCGGGCATCGTCCCGCCGCGAGTAATATGAGCATCCGTCTGAGGGAGCTGATCCGGCAGGTCCGCGGGTGCAAGACCGCGGCGGACGAGCGCGCGGTGATCGCCACGGAGAGCGCGGCCATCCGCAAGGCCATCAAGACGCCGGTGCGCCCTCCGTTCGCCCTCCGTTCGCCCTCCGTTCGCCCTCATTCCGCGTCTCCACCCGCGCTCATGTTCCATGATCGCCCGCCGCCGCGCGCCGCAGGACGGGCCGTACCAGTACCGCAACGCGGCCAAGCTCATGTACATGCACATGCTCGGGTACCCCACGCACTTCGGGCAGATCGAGTGCCTGCGCCTCGTGTCCCGCCCGGGCTTCCCCGAGAAGCGCATCGGCTACCTGGCGCTCATGGTCATCATGGACGAGCGCCAGGAGACGCTGATGCTCGTCACCAACGCCATCAAGATGGACCTGCAGTCGCGCAACCCCGCGGTCGTGGGCCTGGCGCTGAACGCGCTGGGCAACATCTGCTCGCCGTCCATGGGGCAGGACCTCGCGTCCGAGGTCGAGCGCCTCCTGCGCGCGCCCAACCCCAACGTGGTGAAGAAGGCCGCCCTCTGCGCCCTGCGCATCGCGCGCAAGGTCCCCGACCTCGCCGACATCTTCGTCGCGCCCGCGGGCGAGCTCATCGCCGACCGCAATCACGGCGTCCTCCTCGGCGCCGCGGAGCTCATGGCCGCGCTGGCCGCCGCCTCGCGCGAGGCCCTCGAGGCCTACCGCCGCCGCGTGCCCGCCGTCGTCGCCGCGCTCCGCTCCCTCGTCGTCTCCTCCGTGCCCGGCAGCGCCCGCGACTACGACGTCCAGGGCATCACCGACCCCTTCCTGCAGGTGCGGCTCCTCAAGCTGCTGCGGCTGCTGGGCGCCGGGAGCAAGCGCGCGTCGGACGAGATGTCCGACCTCCTGGCGCAGGTCGCGAGCAGCGCGGACCTGCAGAAGCAGGCCGGCGCGGCCGTGCTGTACGAGTGCGTGACCACCATCATCGGCGTCGAGTCCACGGGGTCGCTCCGCGTGCTCGCGGTCAACATCCTCGGCAGGTTCCTGGGCAGCAGCGACAACAACATGCGCTACGTCGCGCTCAACCTCCTCGGGAAGCTCGTCGGCAAGGAGGCGCAGGCCGTCACCCGGCACCGCGCCGCCGTCATGGAGTGCGTCCGCGACAGCGACGTGTCCATCCGCCGGCAGGCGCTCACCGTGCTGCACACCCTCGCCACGCCCGCCACGTGCCAGCCCATGGCCGACGACCTCCTCGCGTACCTCGCGGCGTGCGACCCCGAGTTCCGCCCGCACCTCGCCCGGCACCTCTGCGCGATGCTGCTGCGCTGGGGCCACACGGACCGCGCGTGGTACGCCGCGTCCGTCGCGCGGCTCCTGCGCGACGCGGGCGAGCACGTCACCGAGGAGGACGCGCGGCAGGTGATCACGCACGTGGCCCGCGCGGGGCCCGACGCCCAGGCCACCGTGACGCGGCTCCTCCTGCGCGCCGCGCTCGAGCACCGCACGCTCGACGCGTCGGGCATGCTGCTGCTCGTCGCGGTGTGGTGCGCGGGCGAGTACGGCGCCGACCTCGTCGCCGCGGGGGGCGCGCCGGCGCAGGACGCCGTCGGGCTGCTGCGCCGCGTGCTGTCCGGCGCCGCGCCCGCGCAGGCCAAGGAGTACGCGCTGACCGCCGCGGCCAAGCTCGCGGCGCGCTCCTCCCAGGACGCCGCCGGCGCGCGCGAGCTGCTGGCGCCGCTCAAGTCCTCGCCGGCGCTCGAGGTGCAGACGCGCGCGTGCGAGTACGCGCGGCTGCTCGAGGCCGGCAGCGACGTGTCCGCGGGCGTCATGGACCGCATCCCCGCGCTCGAGGGCAACAGCGCCACGCTGTCCACGCTCGCCGCCGCCGACGACATCGCGGGGCTCGCGGCGTCGCCCTCGGCCGCCATGGCCGCGGGGATCGCGCACGAGGGCGGCGCGGACGCCCTCGCCGACCTGCTCGGCATGGACCTCATCGGCGGCGGCGGCGGCGGCGGCGGCGACGTTGTTCAGGCCCCCCCCGCGGACCAGCAGCAGCAGCCCTCGGGCGGCGGGGGGCTGGACGACCTGTTCGGCGGCGGCGGCGGTGCGCCCGCGCCGTCATCGGCTCCCGCGCCGTCGTCGGCTCCCGCGCAGCCCGCGCTGGGGGGGCTGGACGACCTGTTTGGCGGCGGCGGCGGCAACGAGGAGGAGAGCGTCGCGCCGACGCCGCCCGGGGTGGTGGTGTACGAGAAGAACGGCGCGACGATCCGCATGGACTTCGCTCGGAGCGAGGCGGAGCCCGGCGTGGTGACGGTGACGGCGCACGCTGTGCCGTCGGGGCCCGAGCCGCTGACGGGGTTCTCGCTGCAGGTGGCGGTGCCCAAGTCGATGCAGGCGTCGCTGGAGGCGCCGTCGGGGACGGAGGCGCGGCCGGGCGGGCCGCCGATCACGCAGCGCATCACGGTGCGCAAGCAGGACCCCGCGCGGCCGCTGGCGCTCAAGCTGCGGGTCGTGCAGACGCGCGGGGGCGCGCAGGTGGTCGACATGGCCGCGGCGACCAACGTGCCCGCGGGGCTCTGACGCCGGAGCTCCGTGTGACGAGAAACGCGACGACCACGAACAAGCGCCGTGTGTCTCATGATTGATCAAACTTTTCAGGTCACCTCGCCTCGTCATGACCCTGCCCAGGCGCCCGCGCCGAGACGGAGACGTGCGGCCGGCGGATCTCTCCGGTCGTCGCCGTCCCGCACTGCGCCGTGGCCGGGCGGGCTGCAGACGCATTCCACCTGCGCGGCCGTTCCGAGACCGCCGCGAGCTGGCGTGCAGGCGACCAACGTGCCCGCGGCGACCAACGTGCCCGCGGGGTTCTGACGCCGGAGCGCCGTGTGACGAGAAACGCGACGACCACGAACAAGCGCCGTGTGTCTCATGATTGATCAAACTTTTCAGGTCACCTCGCCTCGTCATGACCCTGCCCAGGCGCCCGCGCCGAGACGGAGACGTGCGGCCGGCGGACCTCCTCCTCGGGCGTCGCCGCCGATCGCGCAGCGCCCCGCGACACCCGTGCTCTGGTCTGGTCTTACATCATCATCATCGTCATCAAGACGTAGAACGGGGCCTCAGTTGAAGGGCTCCATGCGCACGTCGTGCTCCGTGGCCATCTGCTTCCCCGTGCACAGGCAGCTCGTGCACATGACCTTGCCCAGGCGCCCGCACTGCGCGCAGGGCTCGGCCCCGTCCTCCACGGCGCCGGTCCCGGCGCACGCGCCGCAGTTCAGGTACCCCGTCCCCTGGCAGTACACGCACCGCTCGCTCTTCCGCACGCGGATGTTGTTGGCCTCGACGATCATCAGGCTCGTCAGCACGCCGACGGCGCCGCCGCAGAACGACGCCACGATCGGGTCGACCTCCGCGAGCTGCTCGGGGAAGTGGATCGACCGGATGAACTCCCGATACGACTGCCCGCCGAGCCCGAGGCGCACCTCGAGCGACGGCGCGACGATCCCGCCGAAGAACATGATGCCCGACACCGCCACGACGAACGCGGCCTTGTACGAGTCGAACGTGCGCTCCGTGATGGGCGGGAAGTACGGCAGCGCGGAGCGGAACTCCTCGGCCTCGAGCTCGGACTCGGGCGCCGCCGCGCCGCGCGTCCCGGACCCGTTGCCGCCGCCCGGCGCCGCCGCCGCAGAGGGGGTCTTCATGCGCTCCTGGATGCGCAGCCGGCGGATCTCCTCGAGGAGGAGGAAGACCTTGTTCTTGCGGGACTGGATGTTGCGGGAGATCTCCTCGAGCTGCGCGCGCGGGAGAGGGTGCCGCACTTGTGTGTTGTGTGAGTGCTCTCTGCTGCGCCCACGGGCTCGTGCTGCGCGGGCGTTTCGCGGAAGAGCGCAGTCCGCAGCAAGCGACGCGCGAACCAGCCAGAGTCCGACCGGGGCGGCGGGACGGCGCGCAGGCGCGGGCGCGCGCGGGCGGCCGAGGCACCGCGGCCGCAGACGCAGGGCGCCGGCCGCCGGGGACGGGCGGGCGCGCGCGGGAGGCGCGAGGTGCGGCGCGGGCGGTCACCTGCATCGACGCGAAGTCCTTGACGGCGTCCTGGGACTCGATGATGCAGAAGCTCTCCGGGAGCGCCGTGGTCTCGTCCGGGGCCCCCACCGTGCTCACGCCGGCCCCCGAGGACGCCTCCGCGGAGCCCGCGCCGCCCTGGCCGTCCTCACCGGCGCTGCGGGCGCCCACGCGCCGCCTCGCGCAGCCCGGGCCCGGTCGCGCCACGGGGAAACGGCCCCGCGGCGCGGCACCGTGGGCGAGCTCCCGCCGGGCCACGGAGCCGCGGACGCGCCGCCGCCCGGGCGCCCCACCGTGCGCGCGGCCGGCGCCTCGCGCGGGCAGCCACGGGTCCGCATCGGCGCCCAGCCATCCGGAGCCGGCCTCGGGAGGCAGGCCAGGGGTGACCCGGGGAACGGGCAGGGATGCAGGAGCGCCGCGTCCCGATGCCCCGGGCTGCTCTGTATCAGCAAAAAACAACGATCATAGCAGGGCGAAGGAGGCTTTGCCCGGAAGCGTGCGCTGCGCCCGCACGGAGCGCTGAGCTCAGCACGTCGTCTGCGGTGCCCGCGGGAAGGCGGAGCCAACTGCTGCGGGCGGGCTCGACGGTCGCTGTGCGAGAGGTGCGCCCGGCCACCCGTGCCCGTCTTCGCCCGGGAGCGCCCGCCGGGTTTCCTACCCCCGACCACCCGGTGCGCCAGGATGACGCGCAGGGGCCCGACGGGCCACGCGCCCGCCGCGCCGGGGAGCTACACGATGAGCCGCGTCCGGGAGCTCTGCGGGCTCGCTTCCCTCCGCGCGGCACCAAAGAGCAGAGCAGCCTCCCGCCGACCCCGTGGCGTCGCCTGGATCCTACCACGCCAAGTCGCGCGCCCGGCGACACGGAAGATCCGGCGTGATCGAACTTCGTCGCTGTAGACGGCAACGAGCGTTCGCCTGTGGCAGCGACGGTTGGACGGGCGAACGTCGGGTTCTTCTCGCACCGCGGCACCCCTTTCCAGCCATCACCCGCTCGCGGCGGCTCCAAGACGCGACGATGGCGGCGTCCGCGGCGGATGCGATCCGGCGCGCGTCCGTGCGCGACCGCGCGGTCAGGCACGCATTGGCGACCGACGCGCACACGCCGGCACGCAGCGCCGGCCTGATCGCGCCGGCGCCGCGGCGTGCGGTCAGGTGCCCGCGCCGCAGCGACGTCCTGGAATCACGATGCGCTCGTCGCGCAGCGCGGTCGAGCCCCGGGGCGCGCAATCGCCGCAGGCGCACACCTGCGCCTCGCAGCAAGAGACCTTCACACGCGCATGTCGCGCGCCGCCAGGGCGATCGCGCGCCCCACCAGCCCACCTGCGACCTGACCGTGACGGCTCCTCTCGTGGCGATCCGCGAGGTCCGACAGCCCGCCTGGCCGCCCGCCGGGCGCCGCCCGGCGTGGCGCCCGCAACACCGATGCGCCGCGGCGGGGACGGCTGACTCGTTCTGGGAGCAGCTCAAGGGCCAGGCGAGTGAGCTGGCAGACACGTCGCCGGCAGGCGACCGTCGGCATTTTGCCACGCGGCCTGGTGCGCTCACGGGCATCCCACATGGGTCACCACTCGCCCACGCGCCGCAGATGCAAGGGACGTCCGGAGGCGGCGACATGGTGGACCGGGACGTCCGCCCCCGCCAGGGACCCGGCGTCCGGGCGGGGGGTCTTCCGTCGCGTCGGGAGCAGATCAGGAAGCAGGGCGCGTGCTGCTGGACGCGGTCACGCAGGAGAACGTGTTCGTGCTGGCGAAATTGGCGGTGGTCGGGCTGGCGGTGTTTATGCTGCTCATCGCGGGGCCGCCGCCGTCCGGCAAACTCGCGCGCCCGCAGTAACCTTGGTGGATCGCTATACGAGCATTGGGGCTGTGAGGCCGCGAACGGGTGCGAAGCGACGCGCGGGCGGAGTGTCACACGTCTGGTGCGGGTGGCAGCCGGATGTCGCCGCGTCACCCCCCGCATCTCCTCCTGCGCCCATGCGTGTGGCCGATGTAATGATGCCGAGCGCCTGCTGCGCGTCGGAGACCACCTGGTGCCATCGTTCCTCCTACCAGGATGCGGGGTGCGGCATGCCGACCTGGCGCACGCAGATCGTCAGTAACGGTTGTTTTCAAAGCCACAATGCTTTACGTCGAGCATCTTTAGCGTCGGGGTGCCGCTGCGGGGCCCGGTACAGCGCAACCGCCGTGAGGCTTTGCGCATGCGGGTTGTCCACAAGCGACACGTGCAGGAGGCCGGTGTTGAAGGACAGCTCCTCGGCGAGCTGCGCCCACACGCGTCGCTGATGTGTGCAGACTCAGGGCGAGGGCGCGGGAGGTGCTGCGGCAGACGGCGCGAGCGAGCGACAAGGCGCCGTCAGGGTGTCCAAGCAGAAACCACCCGGGACCAGCACGCGCAGCCTCGGGTGCCGTGGCGACGCCCTGCATGGCTCTCCAACCCCAGGGCTCCAGCCAACCCGGTGCCTCATCGTCATCATTATCGGTGACGGTATGGCTCTGCCGATTTCAGCGTGCGGGCGTGGAGTTGCCGGTGAGGATGTCGCTCATCGTCGTCCGGAATCTCCTCCTCGCCGATATCGTAGCTCGGTTGCCCTCCATCAAGAACACCTCGATCTTGCTGCGACCGACGGCGCGCAGGCGGTCGATGGCAGCCATGCCACGTTGTTGTCCGACGTCCCGAGCTCGCGCAGGGGTGGTGTTGCCAGCGAGCGTCCGCGAGAGAGGCATGGCCGCCTGAAGCGTTGCTGCCTGCCAGGGTCGGCACGCGCAGAGAAGGTGTACGCGCCAGCGTCGCCATCAGAAACGAAGGCCGGTCGGGCTGGAGACGCAGGTGTCGCGAAGGTCGGCAACTACGGCGGCAGCCCGGGTTTCGACGCGACGGGTTTGCAACACCTGCTGCAGATGCTGAGAGAACGGGTGGGCTTCTCGCGATGGACGGCGCGAAGTACCAGCCTGAGCGTGTGCAGCGCGGTGCCGTGCTGCAGCATCGCCGTCGAACTGGGCAGGTCATCGTCGCTGAGGGTCGAGAGCGACATGACCTTGAGGTTAAGCGGTCGCGCGGGAAGCAGCAGTCGCGGTGCGTTACTGAAGCCCCGAAACGGTCGCGCGGGTAACTCCAGGACCCATCCGTGTCGATTTGCTGCATCGGTGAAGCACCTGTTGAGAGCGCAGACGGGCAGCGCAACGCAGCCAACCGTTCCTGGCGATGAGCGCGGCCTCGGCGATCGCCGCCATATGCCTGTCTCGTCACGCAAGTCCCAGGTCATATCCAGCTCCGCAGCGTCGGCGTTGCGCACCAGCTCCGCGATCGCGAAGCGCTCCTGCAAATCCCGAGCTTCCGTATGCACCGGTGCGCATCCGTCCGCCGGTTCCTTCCACGCATCGTCTTCCAGGCTCGTCGGGCAAGGCTGCCCTCATACGAGCTGACCGCGGCGTGGAAACTCATGACGTGTTCGACCACCGCCGGGCTTGCAGAATCTCGGGGTGGCGGTCGAGCTGCCGGCTGCACCCTCAGGCCAATCACGCGCAGCGGCGGCGCCCTGCTCGGCCGGCAGCTGCGGCATGCGGACCAGGGCGCGCCAGCGCCGCCCTGAACGCCACGTCCTCGTCACCAGCCCACGCGACGCGCCGCGGAGCATGACGCGCCGCGCGTGAGGTCGAAGCTGCCTCCCGAAGTCCAGCTGACCGACGTAGCGCAGCGAGCAGTTTCCACGCGGCGAGCGAGGCCGCGCGCACAACAGCGCCCGTGCGGCGCGCGCAGGTCCAACACCGGGATGGACGGCCACCAGCCTGTGACGTTACTCCAAGCAGGTAATGGCTGTAAGATAGACTCGCCAGTCGTCTCACTCCCACGTCCCCGACCGCCGTCGTCCTCCGTGCCGCATCGGCGCGAGCGAACACCCCAGCTCGTGCGACCCCACGCTCCAGCGCCGACGTCGCCGGCTTCAAGGTCGAATCGAGGGACCGTGTCCGGGACGTCCGGCGAGGGCTGCGGACGCACCTGCACAGCGAGCGCAGCCCCTCCACCACAGTACGTCATCAGCGTGCGTGGCACTCGGCGCCGCCCGACCGACCGCACGCTTGCGGTAGCGACGAACTCCCCTCATGCGGGTCGAACGGTCATTCGACGCGACACGGAACCCCACGCGCGCGCCCAGGACCGCCGCGACCCGCCTGAATAGATCCGCGGCAGCGCGAGTCGCTGGACGGCGCGACGGCAGGCCTGTCCCGCGACACCCGCCCAGCGTCCTGGCTGCTGTGGGAGTGGTTTGAGTGGATCGCGCACCTGTTCGCGAGGATGCGGGGTCCGAGCCGCCCGAGCGAGGGCCTGGCACGGGTGCTCATGACCAATGACGCCAGCGGTTCGTCGCAAGCGCGCGATGCGCACCGCCGTCGCGCTGCGCGGGGCGGGCAAGAGGAGCGCCACGTCGAAGAGAAAGGTCGCTGCCTGGGCGCGGCGTGGGGGCGGCCGCACGTGGCAACGCGTGGAGACGCAGCTGCACTGGCGCTCGGCGGCGATCCAGCGCGCCTAGTGGCCCGGAGGCCCCGGCAGGTCGTCGGGGCCCTGCGTGATGTCGAGGGCCTCGGGGAGCAGGTGGCGTGTGCCGCGCACCCGGGCGGTCTGGAAGGGGGCGCAGGCGCGGCATTGCGCGGGCGGTGGTGCGCGCTGCGGCGGTGGATCCGAGCGGCACGGGGCTGGGCGCGGCCCGCAGAGGCGCGAGCGGGGCGCCCAGCAGTAATGCGGGCAGCGGCAGAGCGATTAGGGGCGTCGTGGGGCGTTGAGGGGCGACGCTGGGGTGGAGGTGGCGGGGCATGATGCGTCGAAGACATGTGGGCATACACGGGCGAACGCCGCCAGGCCGCGGATCACGCACGCGTTGGACGGCACCTGAGGCGGCGGCGGCGGGAGGACAACGGGTCGCTAGGCGGGCGGTGAGGCGTTGGCGGGGATGGCTGCCGTGCCGGGTGCGGCGGCGCGTGTGCGGCGGCGAGCAACGCTGCGGTCGCGCATGTCGCACCAGGGCAACGCAAGGCGGGGCTAGCTCCTGCACTGTGGGTGCGAGGCTGGCCCGACCGAGCAGCGGGGGCGCACGTCGGTGTGGACGCGGCGTCGAGCACAGGCACGGCGGGCAGTAGGCGCGACCTCGACGACTGCAAGCCGCGACACGCAGGACATGGCCGCCGGGCGACGTCGTGTGACGGCCAGGCGATGCTACGGTCATACATATGTCACGGTCGGGTCGGTGGGCAGGGGCAGGGTACGTCGGCGCTCCTCGCGGGCGCCCGAGCTGCCGCGGCCCACCACACGTCGCGTCAGGAGCAGATCAGGAAGCAGGAGCGCG